GCCCCAAAGATAGAACTATGATTATAAAAACTCAGTATATTACCTCAAAACATTGTTTTCAAGGTAAAAATGAGGTAAGATCAGGTAATACATGTAAATAGCACCTAGCAACAGTAACTGTTCTGCTAGTTACGTCATTAGTCCTGAGGTTAGACTTTTAAAAAATTCCATTTGGTTTTTTCCCAAATATTTGTTAGCAATCTACCTACAAATCATCAGGGAGCAAAATATTTTAGTAATAGAGACAATGAGTAATTAATTAAATGTTTACTAGAATAGCATGTTTAGAGTTAGGATTATGAGTTATTGGCTAACTTAGAGTGGTCAAAGAAGACTTCCCTTTAGAGATGACATTGGAACAGAGACCTGAATGAAATAAAGGGAGGAAGTATGAGACTGGCTCATGCATTATGTGAATGAGTGCTGGTTAGGGAGCTTGTTAACTGCATCCTTTTGGTTCTTAGTCACACTTCTTTATATGGGCACTGAACTATTTATATGTCTATGACTTAGTATGCCAACCAGATTTTACAGTCTGGGAAGGAAGTGCCTGTGCTTCCTATGTCCTTTAAATATCCTCCAATGATTACATAGTTCTCATTACTAACGTGGTATTTCTTGGATGGTTTCTGGTCAGTTCTGTAAGTGACCTTGGAATTAGAAGTCCTTTGAAGAGAACTAGGCCATTGAAAAAGTCTATGGAAAGCTGCTATGGTAGTGAAAAAATAGTCCTGGAGCCAAGAAAATTGTTTAAACTCCAGCTCAACACTGTCTGTGTGAACTCGAACTTGTCACCTAACTTTACTGAGTCCCTTTACCTGTAAAATGGAGATAATAATGTCAAATTCACATAATTGTTGTAAAAGTTAAACAAAGTAATCAATATGAGAAATCCTTGGTATGTTGTAGGAAATCAATAAATGTTACTGTCTTTGAGTATTTGGAAGCTTGGAATGTTGTCAGAGATAACAGATGGGGTGGTCTCTTTCAATAAAAGAATTCTTAAACATGTTATAGTCTACTAAAAATTAGAAATAAGAAACATGTTAATATTATGTTTCATCATGCTATTTATTGGCAAAACTGGGTGCTATATCCTATTTCATAAACCTAATTTTTAATTAAAATTAATTAATTTAAATTAAAATTTCATTTTCTAAAATATAAGCATGAATTCTTTTTAATTAAACGAAATTGAATAGTACTATTCTAAGCATGCTATGTAAGTTAACTCATTTATTCCTCATCCTAAACATACAAGAAAAATAATATTATTTTGTCCTTCTCATTCATGAGAAAAATGAGCCACAAAGAGACTAAATGGCCTGCTCATGCTCATACAGTAAGCTGGGATTATGAAGCAAGATAGTCTGCTCCCAGCTCAGGTCCCTAAATACTAAACAATACAATTGTAATTTGAAGGACTATTTATACCATTAGAAGCCATCATCTTGTGTTTTTCCTAAAGGAAAATAATTGTAGAAAATGACAATAACAATAAAAAAAAATTGAGCATAATGTTAAGTCCATGTGCAATTTAGTTTAAAATAAAGTGAGCAAGGTTTAAAAGAATGTTAATGTTCACTAAAGGTTAGTTAGACTATACCTAAATACTCACTATTACAATAGTAGGAATCACTTAATATGTAATTTTATATCTTGTGTCTCAAAGGCTAGAATCATTTTTAAAAAATGATTGCTTAGGTCGGGAGCCAGCGGCATGGTGTTGGGCCGCAGCTCCCTGCCTCACGCCCTCTGCTTTCCCCACAGGACAAAGAGAAAGAAAAGAAAGTCCATAATATTAATTTTGGACTTGTCCAAGTTCATCGACAAGATGATCCGCGTGAAGTTCCAGGGCGGTGGCGGAGCCAGGGGAATCCCGAAAGGGTTTTCAATTCACTCCTCAGCCTTGTGCTCGGTGGGACCACTGAATACATGAGAGACCCTGAGGACCAGTGCAAGCTCCCGGCGGAATCGCGCCAGCTGGGCCTGCTGGTGTGCGGGGCACGTCGGAGGTGCCCATCTGCCCGGGGGGCGGCATGGAAGCCATTCCCCGCCCCTTAGTCCAGCAGCACAATAGCTGCCTGCGCCGTCTCCGCAGCACCCACTGCCAGTGGAACCGACGGTCTTTCCTTTCTGTATAGGTTAAACTTTTGTTTTCTTACTAAAACAGCAAGCCTCAAAGAAAGAAAAACAAAAAAAAGGAAAGAAAAGAAGAAAAAGATTGCTTATCATTGATCAAAGACTAGAATATCTAAAATTCCAAAGCCTGGAATTTTAAAACAACAACCAAAACCTAGATAGTGAGTAGTAATAATTTGCAGGGATTGATTATTACTATTTATGATCAGTTTGAACCATAGTTGAAAAGCCCAACAAAACGATGCCTTTGTTTATCTAGAAAACCTAAATAAAACTTCAATGACAAACAGGTAAAAAAATTATGCCTTCTATCACATTAGTTTAAGATTTTTACTGTGAGTTATATCTACAAAGACTACTAATATACCAGCTTGAGGAATAAATTATGTAAAGAAAAGATCATAGTTATTTACAGATAATGATATCTAATCATCCCAGGCTTATAAATAAATTGCTATGATGCTATTGCAGGCTGTAAGTAGTTATGTATAAACAAGATACTTCAATCAAGTAGAATAGTGTTTTAATGCTATATCCTATTTCATAAACCTAATTTTTAATTAAAATTTCTTTTTCTAAAATATAAGCATGAATGTGGTAGTAATATAATTTTTTGTGAATAGAGAAATAAAACAAAATTTCTGCTATGTATATATCTAAGATTAGCAAAAACAAAATAAAACAATCACAGACACACACTTACAGAAAAGCCTAATCACCTAATCCTTCACGTGGTAGACTCTCAATTAGGCAAACACATGGATGTGCCATAAAACACATGCAACATGTACAAAAATGGAAAGTAATCAAACTATAAAGAATAGAACATGTAAATATGGTCAACTTATGAATCTAGACTGACAAGTCTAGGGATGTTTTTGATCAAGAGAAAACTTAACAAAAATGGGAGCTACTATTGAAAAAAGGTTTAAGAACATCACTGGCTCTATGGATATTTCCTGTCAATCTTACTGACTTTTGCTGTGTTAACAGCTTCATGAAAATAGAACACCTATGTTGTCTCTTCAAGGAGGGTAACTGGATACCACTTTTAACTGGCAAGAAAATATCAACATCAATGGTTAATTACTTTACATAGTTTAAGTAACAGTACATAGGCTCTAAGTAGAAATCCATTTATTTTTATGTTTTAGAATTCTATCTACTTTAAAACCCACTGGAGCTAAGCTGATCAGACAGAAGTTTTCATCTTTGATATCCAGGTAAACCAAAACATGTGAACAGGTCATGGCTTTGAGTTTTTTATACAGCCTCAATTATGTGTTAGTCAACCCAAACATCCATTATGTACTCAATAATAGGTATGACACAACTCTGGACATCAGCAACACCATAAATAGCCAGGCACAGGCAGCTTGCCTATACTGCTTTTCCGGGTGTTAACATCCTTAAGTAGTATAGTAACCAGATAGCGTGCTCCTCCTTAGAACCCTAGAGTAGCACTCTACTAGATTTCTTCATCTCTACTGGATGTCCTAACAGCCAGACTGTGCAGAATAACACTGTCTTGAAAAATGATAGCACAAAATTTTAGAGGGAAAAGTAATGTAGGATGCCAGCATGGGGACAAATTTTTAATTGCCCGTGATTGTTGTGAACATAATTTCCTGAATAGTAAAATCTCCATCAAGGGCAGCTACAGCTGTAAAGAAAAAAATGATCTTGAAACTTTAAAAGTGCACTGGTGCACATCATAATGCAACAAAGTAAACTTGAGGAAAACTTAAAACATTGTTTTAAAATACAAGCAGGGAAGCCGCTGATCTTTAGGAAAGCACACAGTTGCTTATTATAAAGCATTTCTAGAGTCCGATGCATTTTCAAAGCTGGTTACAGTCATTACCATAGCACACCCTTGTGAGGTAAGTGTTTTATCACCTTTGGTTCATAAATGAAAAAGCTGAGGCACTGAATGATTAAGTCACTCGCCTAAGGAGAATGAGTCAACGTCAAGTCATAGTTGACCCGGCCTAACAACTCCTGACTGTCAGTCCAGGGCTTAGTCAGCGGAGCCCCAAGTGGCTTCCCTGGCTGGCACCTGGACTAAGGCTAATTCCGTTCACGTTAAAGCAGAATATTGGAACCGACTGGACAGAACTGCCAAATAATTGTGACTTCCACGCAAGATTTTTAGCCCTGAGGTCTTTATCTCAGGATTTGGTACAGGAAAAGCTGTCGGGTCCACTCCCCCCCCCCCAGCCCGCGGCAAGTGGGTACTATAGGCGGTCCTGCCTGTCCCTTTTCTCAGTGATGGCAACGAGTGACCACCAGCGTTAGCAGAGCCGGGGGACGGGGGAGGGTTGATTGCTTAAACGACTCTCCATCGTCGCCTTTTTTCGAAACTAAGAGAAAATGGTCGGAAGGCAAAAGAAAACTAAATAAACACACAAGCAACTCGTCCTAGGACCTCAACTAAGCAAATGAAGCTTTATTGTGTGTGCTGAGCCCGCAGTTCCCAACCTTCCGGGAAGATGGGAGGACAGGGCGACAAAGGGCAGGATAGGCATGCCTGGCAGTAAGTGCGACCGAAGCTCTACAGGCGGAAGAGCAAAAACTACAAAATCCACCCTTCCGCACGCGAGTGTCCCCGAGGCTGAGACCCGCGCACCCTACCCATCGACCACGTGACCGTTTTTTTTTTTAACTTCTTTGCCTTAAAAAAAAGGGGGGGGTAGAGACTCCACTTCCCAGAAGCCTCTCGTTACCCACGCAGCCGCAGTCTTGCGCAGGCGCCGCCAGGGCCAAACGGACACGTCCGTCACGTGAACAGTAGCTGGCCAATCCGGTTTGAATCTCATTTTTTTCCTCTCACCCCCCCCTTCAGGAGCGGTTGTGCGATCAGATCGATCTAAGATGGCGACTGTGGAACCGGTGAGTATTGCCTTTGGCCCCCACCCCCACCGGTCCCCGCGCTCCGTCTCCCTTCGGACTAGGGGACCCCGCGGGACGGCGTTCCCAGCGCGCACTCTACCCCTGGCCGCCCCCTCCCCCTCATCTTGGACCTGACCTTCCGCGGGCAACTGGGGGCGTCCCGGAGTCTGGCCGAGGCGGCGTGTAGCGCACACGTTCCGGTGGGGGCCCGAGAACTGGGGGAGAGGAGTGGGGGAGGGGCGCGTGGCGCCTCCTGCGGAGCCGCGAGGTGTCTGCAAGGGTAGGAGGGTGATCGGGGCTCTGAGATAGGGTCTGGGGATTGTGTCTTCTTTCTAGGAGTGCGCGGAGCCGGCTTGGAGAGAGCGCCGGGATCCGCAGGGAGGGTGGGCGGCAAGCCGGCCTGGAAAGAGATGGAGGAGGGAGCCTCGGGGCAGCCTTTCTCTCCCTCCCTACCTCCAGAGATCCGGCTCAGGGGCTCGAGAACTGGGCGCGCGCGGGTCTGCATTAGACCAGTGGGCTGGGGAGCCGGTGGGCGCGTGTGCACGGAGGGTGGGTTAGGCGGGAGTGGTGCTGTGGCACGCGCGGAAAAGCTTCGACCTCGCGGAGGGGAGCCGAGAGGGGCGAGCGCATGTTACTCCAGCGCCCTGGAGAGTTACCGCGGTTGGCCGCAGGGGAGGCGAGAAAGGTCGGAGCGGGGAGGAAAACTCCAGGTTGCGCGGCGAAAGCTCTCGGAGAAGCATGAGGGGTGGTGGTGGTGGTGAGAAGGGGGATCACATTGTCCTCGCCCCTGCATGCTTGGGACTGGGCTGTCATGGAGGAGGGAAGAGGGAGGAGCGAGGCCTGGAGATCGCTGCTGCCGGTCTGGTTGCCGGCCGGACCTCCTGCATTTCACACGCGCCTGTCTTCATTCATTCATCCTTTCAGCGCAGTGCGCACGCCTCGGAGAATGCGAACAGGTCTAGACCCATCTGTTCTTCTAAGTCTTTATTTTCTGTAACATTTCTAAGATGAAGTTTACTGGAAATAGAAACTTAACTTTTAAAATTACATTTTCATTTGATTTTTTCCGTCTTTAGCCATCCTACAGGGTTTCCTCTCTATTTAGGTACCATTTTAAACTTACCTGATGCAAGCTGGTCAGGGCAAAAAGTTAGTAGTTATTCCTAAAGCACAGGGTATCTTTGTCATAGTTTGGATTTGCTGGCACTGGTTCACTGAAATTTCTGGGCCTTGGCTGCCTTTTTAGGACTGGTACACCTAAGTGACAGTGTCCTGGATGCATAATGGAGTTTGTTAGCAACCAGAAAACCTTTGACATTCTGGAACCAACTCTAGACCTTGGTTGTCAGACATTTCTGTGTATCTTTTCATGGCAACTTGTGGTTTTGCTGATGGTTTAACAATTTGCTTTGACTTTTAAAGACTTTTATAGCTATTCAAAAAGTCTTATGACTGCAAAAAAGGATTGTTTTCCATTACATTGGTTAACCTTACCTTGTTGCCAGAACTCAAGCAGTTTTTCTCTTTGTTACTTGTTCTTTTATTGGCATTAGTTTTCATTTATGAATTAGGCTGACTGCAAAACTGTCTCATAAGTTCCTGATACAATTAACTGCCTTTAGAACATTAACGTTACATACATAACATTAATGAAACATAAATATGTAGCATTTAAATTTAAAACTCCTTTAACAGGTTCTGATGTCCACTTTTGATTGGACACTCCTACCCACTATACCAATGTCAGTAAAAAGCATTACATCTGGAAGTAGGGGCAAATCCAAAAATCTCTAAACAGTAAGAAAAAAATGAATTCTGTGAAATTTTATTAATATTTAGGTCCCTTGGATTTTAGAAGCTATGTAGTTTTATTTTGACAGTGCAGAAATATAAAGTTGTGAAGGACTATTCTGAGTCAGTAAATATTTATAGCCTTTGATATGTTTAGTACTGTTGTACCAAGTGTTCTTTGGGATACAAAGTTATACAATATGTGATTCTATACCTTGTTGAAATGTAAACACTTAAGGAGCTTCATTCCCAGGGATGTGGCCAGTGATACAGTATTTGTTCTAGTGCTAACTTGGGGAGATTTGGATATTGCATTTAAATTTGGGGAGTAGAAGAATCTAAAAACCTAAAGTGTGTGAAAGTGGGAGCCTATTAGTTGGAGATGAATGTAAAATAATATTTTAGCCTTCATTTGTGGTGAGAAGTACATATTTTTAGTACTTTTTTTTGGTAGTTTTTGGCTGGGGCTGGGTTTGAAACCCGCCACCTCTGGCATATGGGGCTGGTGCCCTACCCTTTTGAGCTGCAGACACTGCCCTATTTTTAGTACTTTTAATGCAGCCTGTCTTTAGTTATATAGAATTCTTTTTGACAGTTTTAAATAGTTCAATTTTTTTTGAAGCAATTGAGACTGATTAGGATTGGATTGCAATGAAGTGTAAGAGGCTTGAAAGGGAAAATTGAGAGAAGCATTTTACCTCTTTACAGGTAGTATTGCAAATTTTTGAACTTGGGACAAAATACTCTGTTAGCCTTTTGGCATTTGAAGTGTGGTTAGGTCAAAACTAGACTTGGGAATCGTCAGTGAAAATGTCAAGGCAATTTTCCCAGGCCATCTTAACCTTCAGTGGGTTATGTTTCTTTGTTTCTAGCTTTATCTTCATTCTGCATTCTTAATTATTAGACTTTTTTGTACTGATTTGTTCTTTTCAAGGTAAGAGATTAATTTTGGTTTCTTTAGTTAAACTGCAGGTATATAATTTTACTTGTATTTCTTGAATTTTGTAAACTGTACATTAATTTTATAAGTGAATCAAGTTGGACAATCAGCTGATCTCATGTTTCCCTTTTCCCTACTTTAGAAAGATGCCTTGTATTGCATAGAGTTTATTAAGAGTATTAGGCTTATCTTAGTGCAGTGGGGTGTGCCTATAGTCCCTTCTACTTGGGAGCCTGAGGCTCACTTGAGTCTAAGAGTTTGTGGCCAATAGGGCAATGTAGTAAGACTGGCCCCTTTAAAAAAAAAAAAAAGAGTAAATATATGTTGTCTTACATAATTCAACATATTTGAATGGCAAGTCAGTTTTGCAACAACATGGATGTTTTTACTTCAATGAGAGGACCCAATATATCAAAGTTCATTACTAAACCAAATACAGTATATTTGGTTTTGGTGTTTATATTCCAGATTTCACTTTATTTACAATCTGAGTTAATTCAATGTAGACATGGACACAGTTTACACACAAGTTCGGAGAATAATATGTAAAGTGCATTGCGTAAGCTTAATCAGTTTGGACAGAATTTTGTAGGCAAAAAAACTGCTATAAAATATTCTGTTTAATGTGTATAAGGTTAAGAATAGAAGGTTTGGCAGTCCTGGACTTAACAAGAGACCTTTGAAATACCAGTAGAACCTCAGTAAGTTGACCATCCCAGGGACTGTCACAAGCTGGTCACCATAAGGAACTACGCTTACTGTATTGACTGGATGTGTGCCACAAGATATAGGAAAGTTAGGTCAACTTAAGGATCAATATAGGGAGGTCATCAACTGTGGAGGTTCTACTGTACTTCTAGCAATAGTAATTTCTACTTTTCCTTTCCTACCACTGGAAATTTCATTGTACTGGTACCCAGGGGGTTGCACCATCTTTGAGACTTTTTTGAGAAATGGAAATGAGCATGGATTGTAGTCTCATTTTAGTATCTGTGTGACCTGGAAGACTGAAATTTCTAAGTTTAGCTGAAAATGGGAATAAGATAATCTTCTGGTGATTTTAATTTTTTTTTT